TGAGAACGATGAGCTCCTCCAACGTTCAGCGTTTCGTTGTGCAAGGTAACCAAAGACGCCGCGCGCATACGCCACGTCACGCGCACACAACGCACGACGGAACCGCAGACACACACACGCGCTCTGCCGAATACGCACGCACCCACACGCCCGACACATACCATGGACGCCCTGCGCGTTGCTCTACCACACACACACACACACCACACACACACTACCCCATCTCACACTACACACTACACACACACACACACGTTTTATTCGTTTATCCACTTGTTTGTGACATGCCTTTAGCCTAAAGTACGGGGCCCACCCCCCCAACCAAGAAAAACCGAGCAAAACGGAAATTTAGTTTTCTAGCGCTTCGCGTTCCCTCTCCGGCCTCGTCTCCTTTCTGCTCGGCGAGCACCAGCGCACACAACCCCGCTAAAACACCCTGAACGTGTATCTCACCCCAACGTGTCTCTCTTCGTGCGCTGTGTGCGGATTTCCCGAAACAAAAAACATTGCTCAGCTGATCTGTTTGTCGCTGAACAAGCCAATGGTTTGATTCGTCTCGAACGTGTTTTCGCCTGCAGCGTACCGCGTTTTGCTCGGGTGTGTGGCGTCAATCGCTGCTTACACATGGCGGAATGACGCCACGGACGGGTCTCCCACCCATATCTTTAAACCAGATATCACATACACACAAACATTTGGTATGTCCATTGATGGCTCTTTTATCTATTAAACGGCTCGTCGTACGCGCAGTGTTTCTTGTATGTTTTGCCCCCTCAGCTGGCGCGTGCGTGTGTTCTCCCGTGGTGGTGCGTGGTGCCCGGCGTTGCTCGCGAGCAAAACGGCGAAACGCCTGAAAACACAAAATTTCCCGGTTCCTTGCTTCGGATCGTGCGGGTCCGTGCTGCGCGTGCTTGCTGCCCACAGTTTCTTGCTCACACGCTCTGGTTCGCACGCGACAAGTAAGATCAACCCCCCGATCAGCCGATATCAGTTACTACATCCATTACCGCTGGTGCATGACAACGACAGCATCGCCATCCCAAAACGTCCAGCGTGGAGTCACACGTCATCAGCTTGATAACCCTAGCAGTAATAATATATGCCACACGTTACCCATCATTTTCTTTCTCATATTAGCTAACTTATAGTAGCCGAAAGCACACTCTTCTGACTTCTTTTCTGAATAGTGTAAGATATAGTCCTTGAATTATAGAATTATTTTTTTACATTCCATGAAAGTCCCTCTTTTAAATCCTATATATATCAGCAAGCTCAGATAATAGGAAGGAGTGTGACTGCAATAAACATGGCGAAATTCGTTATTTACTACCTTATGAATACCTACGAATTTACTACGCGTAAACTCATCCAACTTGAGCTCGAAATCTCTCTTCTCCGTTCGTCGAAATCGTTTCCTCGTTTTCAGCACAGCAATCCGGAGATACAGACTAAAACGCCTACGACACGATTATCCATTCTTTGCATCAATCCAAGCCTATTCCCGCCTCTATGCAAAACAAAAGGCAGCTACTAACGCGCTATTGTGCTAACTCGCGAGGCATGTGGCTCGCTGGGAAGATTGGAGCTGGAAGCTGCTGCTGCCCTGATGCGGTGGGCGTGCGTGCCGTGGGGCCAAACTGTAAAAGGATCAAAGCATTGCTCGCCGAGTGTTGCGTCGAGTCCAACTCTCCCAGCGAGCCACACGCGCCATCGCCGGAGGGCCCACTAAGCGTGCGCAAGAGTCTTCAGCTGGCTTATTGTTTCAAGTTAGGCGGCGTATGGATTCGGTTTGCTGGCCAACAGAATGAAGAAATCGTGTCGTACTTGGGTAGTTTCAGTCCCTGCTCCACCTCCTCCGGATTGCGGGTGTATATCGAGGAAACGCGCTTTCTCTCTCTCGAAATGTAGTGTGTACGATTTGAGCCTCAAAGTTGCCTTGAGTTAGGCGTAGTAAATCGTAGCCGGTATTCTAAGCGCTAGTACAATCGACGAATTTCCCTTGTTTTAGTGAAGCTCACACTCCTTCCCTATTACCTCTACTTCCCTGATATATATAATATATATTATATATTATATATATAGTGGATATACTATATATATAGATATATATAGATAGATATATATATAGATATAGATATAGATATTATATAGATATAGATACTATTACGATATAGTATATTATCATTATATAACGTTAATGTATTGTATATATCAACGAAGTTATGCGTAAGCTCGTGCGCGCGAGTGGGTATTGAATATTGCAGAATTATTTCACTATTTATTTTCCCCTCGGGGCTTTATCCGCGTGAATTGTGGTAGAAGCTTGCACGAAGGCTGCATGGATATCTGACGAAGGTTTATCGAACGTTGCCTGAAAGGTTTATGACTGATGTATGACGGGATGTATGAAAGGTTGTTGAAAGTTATATGAAGGATATATGAAAGTTGTATGAAGCGTTAGGTGATAGCGGCTTCTATGAAGGTTATTGCAAAGGTTGCCTACGAACGGTTATGTAAAGTTGTTATGAAGTTGTATCATAGGTTATCGTGAGGTTGTGTAGGAACACAATACAACCTTTTAAGCTCTTACCGGATTGCTATACTTGAATATGTGTTAAGGAAAATGAAACTAGTATGAAGTTTCGTGAAGGCATAAACCACTCTCTCCGTGGTGTATGAAGTTATGTGAAGGTTGTATAAAAGATTGGCCCTTCACTACACCTTCATGTACAATCTAGAACGCAAGTTTCTATCCTCCACAACACACAACGCTCATCTGGAACGACCGGTATATGACGATATCTTCGGTGTATCTGGACCCATGGCACCGTACGCCTGCGAACTCTTTTCGTCACAGACCTCAATAGCTCTCCATCCCACCCATCAAATTTACGGAATCTTCACAGTCTTCCGTTATGTCTCCCTTCTTACGTAACCATCGACAAGTGGTCACTTACACACCAGACGTATACTGTAACCCACAGACTCCGTCCACCTCTCAGATTCTGCCCACCACTAAGGCACTCATAGACAACATCCCCTACCGGCAATTCCTGCCGCCTAAGAGAAGAGTGGTGCGCGTGCGAGAGCACCTCGCCTCGTACCAGCGCCGCAAGGCAGTTAAGCACCACTGTTCCTAAAACGGGGCTGACAAGCAGACCTGCTAGCATAAGTCCATACAAAAAGCGCACAATGCCTCCACGACACTCTCTAAAACTCTCCATAAAACAAACAACACCGTAAACACCAAACTAAGGACGATCTTCTTCCTCCAATAGGAATACAACCCCAGTAACCCACAGAGTTCAAACAATCATCCCAAAAACACTGCACGTTCTATCAGCCTCACCGGCCCTGAACCACATCTCACGACCATCCGCCTATCTTCGCCCTAAGCCATGCACGACGCCGTAAAAATTTGAGGACGCGATCATACGCCCGCAATAATATCTCGCCACTACATCCCCGCTCTCAGCTCACCCACCCAGTGGGTCGCCCTTCAACGCCAGGCCCACACGCCCCCTGCAGGCGCTACTCGAACTACTGAAGTCAACTCACAAAACGGTCTTACCCTTCCCTCCCCCTCCGCGATTAATATCACTCGCATCTCTCTTCTTCAACGAACCTTCATCGACCGTAATCTCCTGTGCGCATAATGCCCCGCGGCCAGTACATAGCGAGACACAGCCAACTCATAAGATCGCATAGTTGGAATAGCACCTCCGTGGACTTACCAAACGAGACATGAGCAGACCCGTCACTTACTAAGACAACCAACACGCAGAAAGGGTTTCAGGCAGGCATTTGAAAAACATATTCTCGGACCCCCGGTCCAGAACATCCAACGCACGCATCCGCAACAGAAAGAAAAGAGAAGGCCTATTGGATCCACAACTCTCAAACACCATCCAACCATACGGACTCAATACCTACGGCGTCGAAATACCGCGGGATGGAGTAGAGAGACTATCACCAGATAAGACGCGCTGGGCCAACATGAATCACGTCAAGCGCTTTCCCCAGCCAGACAAACCCAGGGCGGTAGCCGAGCATTTCATTCCTTTTTAAACACACTTATATATACGATATAAGAATCCTATAGTATATTGACCTATATATTATATATAATCTTAATGTTGTGTATATATCAACGTAGTCTCGCGTAAGCTCGTGCGCGCGAGGTGGATTGAATATTGCAGAATATTTCACTATTATTTTCCCTCGGGCGGGGCTTCCTTTCTGTATCGCGTGAATTGTGTCCCAGAACTTGCACGACAGGCCCATGTATATCTGACTTATAGTGTACAGACGTTCGCCTGAACACGCGCTATGACTGATGTATGACGGATGTATGAAGGTTGTTTGAAAGTTATATGAAGGATATATGAAAGTTGTATGAAGGTTATGTGAAGGTTCTATGAAGGTTATGTGAAAGTTGTATGAAGGTTGTATCAAGGTTATGTGAAGGTTGTGTGAAGGAAAAATGAAACTAGTATGAAGGCTCTACTACCGACCACACCACTAGTATGAAGGTTGTGTGAAGGTTGTATAAAGATGGCACCGTCTTATGCCAACCTCTTCATGTACAATCTAGAACGCAGTTCTATGCCCGTCCAGAACACACCACCGCCTCATCTGCGAAAGAGCTTATTGAGCGATATCTTCGTTATCTGGACCCCATGGCACGGTGCGCATCTCGTCACAGACCTCAATAGTCTTCCACTCCCACCCATCAATATTTACGGAATCTCACAGCCTCGTTATGTCTCCCCTTTCTAGACGCTACGGGTAACCAGCGACAAGGGGTCCTTAACACACAGACGTACTACCTGTAAACCACAGACTGCCACCCTACCTCACGACAGATTCTGCCCACCCTAAGCACTCATAGACAACCCATCCCCTACGGCAACCTTCCGCCTAAAAAGGATCTGCCTCAAACAACGCGCGCCTCGACACGCGCCCGCAAGAGTAGTTTAGCACCTGTTCCTAAAACCGGCCTACAAGGCAGACCTGCTAGATAAGTCCATACAAAAAAGCGTCACAATGCTCGACGAGAAGTCACTGCTAAAACCAAAACCAAAAACAGTAAACACAAAACCTAAGAATTCCCTTATAATGGAATTACAACCCAGTAACCCCCAGATCAAACAGATCAATCCAAAAACACTGCACGTTCTTATCAGCTCCTCCACCGCGCCCTGAAACCACATTCACGACCATCCGCCTATCTTGCGCTCCCTAAAGCATGCCCAGAGGTAAAAATTTGAGGACGCGATCATCACGCCGGCTATATCCCCCACATCTCCTCTGCCCTCAGCTCGTTAGCCTGTATCTCCATGGTCGTGCACCTCAATCTCCCAGGCACACGCCCTGCAGGGCGTACTCGCTGCTCCACGTAGCAGCACTCGGTCATCTTATCTCTTACCCTTCCCTCCCCCTTCCGGAAATACCATCACGCATTCCTTCACAGCCATCTTCACGACTTCATCTACGAAAAAATCTCTGTCGCGCACCTGGAGTTACACCAGGCGAGACACACGCGCGTAAAACTCAAAGATCGCATAGGTTTAACCACTCCGATGACATTACCCCAAACCTGAGCAGACTCTGTCAGTGCCCTCATTATACCCAACAGAGCCGAGCGAGCGTGCGGCACCAATTTCAGGCAGGGGCACTTTAAATGCCATACGCATCCGCAACGAAGAAAAGAGCTTGACCACAATCTAAACACACCAACCATACTACCTACGGCGTCGAAAATACCCGGATGGATTAGAAGCATTCATAGTGCCAACCATGGAATCAACGTAAGGGCTTTCCCCAACCAGACGACCCAGGGGGTAGCGCGAGGGAACCCTTCGATTCACTTTTTAAACACACCTTATATATAGATATAGATATATATATAAGATATTAGATATATATATAGATATATATATAAACGTTAAGATTGCTATATCCATCATACGAAGTTATGCGTAGCTCGTCGCGCGACCCAGTGGGTATTGAATATCGCAGACTTCCATTTCACCTATTTATTTTCCCCTCGGGCGCTTATCAGCTATTTGCTCTCTATGAGTGAATTGTGTAGAAGCTTGCACGAAAGGCTGCATGCGATAGTTGAGCGAAGGTTATCGACCCGTTGCCTGAAAGGTTTATGACTGCAGCTATGACGCGTATGTATCTGAAGTTGTTTGAATTATTATGAAAGATATATGAAAGTTGTATGAAGGTTATGTGAAGTTCTATGAAGGTTATTTGAAGGTTGTACGAAGTTATGTGAAAGTTGTATGAAGGTTGTATCAAGGTTATGTGAAGGTTGTGTGAAGGAAAAAAAAAATGAACTAGTGATGAAAGGTCCTGTCATGAAGGTTATGTGAAGGTTGTGTGAAGGATAAATGAAACTTCTATGAAGGTTGTATGAAGGTTATGTGAAGCGCTCGTAGTGTAAGTCGTTATATATGACACACACACACACACACACACACACACACACACACACACATACCCCCTCCACACACACACACACACACACACACAGCACGTACTTGTAGCTGGCAGTTCTCGGTACGGACTGGTCAGGATCGAGGTTGGCTAGCGGACCGACGACGACCCAGCCGTCCTCTGTGATGATGAACTTGTCGCCAGCACCGTGTAAGATTCTGTACTGTAGCCGACTGTTGTAGACACTGCCATCGCCGTCGCTAGCAGTCACCTGCCCGACATCACACATTCACCATCACGTATGTCTGCCATCACGTATACGCTATCACATATTGGCCACATATACGTAGATTTAGTTATCACACATATTGGTTATCGCACATTTTATCACACATTGATTATCATATACTGACTTTCGCACATTGTCTATACATATTGCCGATCACATATTGGTTATCACACATTTTTCATCACACATTAATTATCATATACCTATTTTCGTACATTTCATATTTGTTAGCACATACTGGTTATCGTACATTGTTTATCGTACATTGTTTATTATATATTGGTTATCACGTACTGGTTACCATAGATTATTCCTCACTAATTGATCATCATGGATTAGTCCCCGGGTTATTTATCACCGGACCGTACATTGCCCGTGTCTATATATACTCACGTTGACAACCTGGGTTCCCTCGGGAGCGTCTTCCTGAACAGATCCCCAGTAGACATCCTGATCGAATATCGGCCGGTTATCATTCGCATCCTGAAACACATACACCACCATGATTGGTCATCAATGCTATCAATTGCCAACCATAATCCCTATCAACGATGCTGTCACATCTTAATCAACATTAATCCTCCACAATTCCGTCAAATTTCAACTTCTATCACTGTCATGCAACGCCGTCAAAGGTCAACCACTATCACTGTCACTCAACGCTATCAAATGTCAACCACTATCACTGTCATTCAACGCCGTCAAATGTCAACCACTATCACTGTCATTCAACGCCGTCAAATGTCAACCATCACAACTGATCCCCAATTCCACCAATTGTCAACTAGCATCCCTGCGTGTCAACACCGTCAACAGTTAACCAACACCGCCAACCCTCAACACGGTAAAACGTCACTGTCAACAATGTCACCAACTACACCTCCCCACCAAACTGTCGCATGTCACATTGCTGCCCCCCTCACCTCTACGAATATGATGACTGTGGCGGTGGCGTTGAGCGCTGGGGACCCGTTACCGACAGCCAGCACGGTGAGAGTGAAGTGTCGCATCAGGTCATGATCGGTGCTGTTCTCCTCCATGGCTTCATAGTCTATCGACTTGACAGCAGTGATGCGCCCTGCGGTCATGACATGAACGTGAATGTATATGTGTATATTGTTTTTTCTGTTTATTTATTTGTTTGTTTGTTTATTAATTTAATAATTTGTTTGTTTATTTATTTACTTATTCATTTATTTATATCACGCGTTACATAACATCAGCACGCCACGTTATACACGCGTGCCATATAACACCAGCACGAAATGTTACACATGCATGTCATGTAACGCCAGTACGCCATGTTACACACACACACACACACACACACA